AATGTAAAGGCACACATTAAAAGCATACAGACTGAGAGTGATATCCAGGTTAGGGTTCTGTTGGAGAAGATTGCAAAAATGGAAGTGGATATTGGGGCTGGTGAGAATGTGAAAAAGGACCTGCAACAGGCACACTTTGAGGTACAAAGCATGGTCAAGGCCAGACAAGAATTGACTGCCAAAATTCAACAGGCATCCCAGGAATTGCAGAAAACTTATAATGATCTTAGGAAAATACCACGGTTGCATTCTGAACTTGACAGTTGGAGGAAAGAGCACCAGAGATTACAGTAAGCCAAACAAGTCCTACTATGTTTCTTCCATGCTGTTTTATTGTTTTCTCTCTTGTAAAATTTGTCATTATTTCTCTAAGACAGGATATAATTAATGAAAAGGACCACATCAGAAAATCGACCATAATTCTTCTGTATATCAAGTCTATTTAGTTGCAAACAAAGTAGACATTCTGGCAAATGATATTATAGTGTTGTATAACAAGATTACTACTTACCGTCATTCACTTTATATACTAAGTCAATCTCTTTTTGTGCAAATAAATAGATCATTATAATGTGTTTTTATGACAAGGTTTGTTGGTTGCCCACTAATCTCTTTTCTTTTCTCCTCTTTAATCTCTTGTGCATATAGTGCTACCTTTCAGCATGAAAAGGGTTTAAACATTGAGCAGGTGGAGAACATGCAAGCAATGGAGAAGAATCTAATTTTGATGGGAAGGGAAGTGGATAAGTTGCAAGCTGAAATCAGGAATAGTGAGCTGACATTTCATGGTAAAATTTATTTCTGGCACACATGATGGTCATATTATTTGGTATTTTCTTTAATTGCTTTTCTTTTTCTTGCTTTATTTCCTCCCTAATGCTTGTGATGATGCTAGGTCCTATACCACCGAGCTTTTCTGGTGGTCACTACTTGAATAGTAATACTTCATACCCACCCTCAATACAAGGTGGCAGTGCCTATGTTGTTGGATATGGAATACCAACTATGATGCCGATGGTTGTCAACCATGTACCAGAGAATGATGGCTTTTGGTAGTGGCATTCTTCCAGCACCTGCAGCTGTTCCTGGTGCTGATGCAGTGTGGGAAGGACCATATGATCCATCACTTGCTCAAGGGTGAACAAAGAAAAGTTCTCATTATAAGCCCCTTCGTAAATTATTTGGTCTTAGCCAGGTTTTTCGGTTTATAAGGGCAAGGGGTTTTCTGGTACCTGATAAGAACCCCAAGAACTTTAGACGGTTTCATGCTATCAGTTACACCAAGCCAAGTCATATTTTTCTGTAGAATGTCTCAGATTGCAATCTGCATCCTTCTCTGAAGGGATGGTTCAATTTAGAAGTTGTATGAATCCTTGTTGGTTAGCAGAAAGCTAAGTAAAGCTCCCACTTCTCTCTGTTTTTGAAGCAGCTACTAATGACCGGTGACTAGTTTTCTGTTAATTTTGCAGGCAAGGGTTGAACCATGGATATGATGATTAAGTGTGGATGGGTGACTGCAAAGCTAGAACTAGCAGTGCATCATCAACAAAAGATTGCCTCATATGCTCTGCTATAAAAGCATTCGGCTTTGGATGGCTTCTTGGTTCCTCATTGCATAGCTTTAATACTCCTGCCAATACGTTTTGGATTGAATTGAGAAACTTTGTTCAAGCTAGCAAGTTATGTTTGTGAAACTATTCATTGATCTCCAACTTTATCTTGAAACCTCTTGTTTTTACTGGTATATAGTCGCTAGTTTTATTTTCTTTTGACATTAATGATTGGATAAAACAATATGAGATTGCCTTTTAGCCTTCCAACAATCCTCCCTCTTGAATAAGCTGTCATTACTTTAACCGTCTCGCCTAGAGGCCAGAAATTCAAGTTACACAGGTAAGGGTTTAAGAATAGTATTAGCTAGGGTATGCTTGTAAAAGGTTTGCTTTAGGATTGACATTTTAAGAACTATTCTTCAATAGGTTGTGTCTTCGGTATCCATACGGCTAAAGCTTGTGAAAAGAAATGAAAACAGAATGAGAAGTAGATAAAAGATTGACAAATACTTAGATAGGTGCCACAAAATCAAAATCTTTGTTATCTGAGTCTGAACTGCAGAAAACTAAAGCAAGCTTAACAAAACCCAAACATATCCTAACTGAAGAAAGAAAAAGAAAAGATATCCAAAGCAAAAACACAGCACTTCAACTTTCCTCCAGCTAGCTAGGATTCTAATTTCTCCCACATGGTTGCCAGGAACACAGATAAGTGAGAAACAATGAGCAGAACAGCCATGATAACCATAAACAATCCAAGCTTCCTCCATTTGCTCTGTATTGTACTCAGAAATCCTTCTCTACAAGATTGGCAATCATAGCATAAGATGTTTCTATTGTTGCTCCATGTATCACAGTCTGTGTCAAAAGGATGATTTCTGCTCCTTGCATGATCTTTCTCCACCCAAAATGTAGTGTTTAAGGCTTCCATTCCGCAGAAAGGAGGTGGTTGGCAACATCCAGACTTCAAAACAGCATACCGAACAAAAACAATTAGCTCTCATTATATAGAAACATACATGTTTATAAAGAATGAAATAGACCAAAGATATTGCAGGTTTGGGAGAGGGTTACACAGACATATACCTCTATGGGTGTCAATTTCCGCATGGAGAAAGCGTATGGGCTGAGCTGCATTGATGTGATGGCCATTTCCTCACAGGTTTCAGAATCGTAAATGCACGATTTAATGTCATTCCATTTATTGTTGTTTTGAACTTTGGCTTTGAGCCACATAGGGGAAGCCGGCATCCGCCTGCTCTCCATTTTGAAAGCTCCAACGAAGGCAAGACCCATCGTGAGCATCAGCAGCAGCGGTACCATCACCAACATGACTCCCACCATTGGAAGCCGTGTTCTGATCAAGATGAGAGTGGCATTGCTTACCAGGAAGACGAAGATCAATGCAATCCCAATCCCAATCTGCAATCTTGGCAATCTCAATAGCACTTCGCAGTCATAGTCCCTCATGTATAGAAGCCACATGACAGATGCAAGAATCGGGAGGGAAAGAACGAAGGTGAAGATCGATAACAACCCTGGAAAGTTAGTAAAGAGAGATTATACAGGGTCAGTTTAAACTGAAGCATTATTTAAACTCTAGTTTCTGTACTAATAAGAAAATGAACCTGAAATGTGCTTCATTCCGAGGAGCTTGCCTTTCTTCATGTTCTCCGGAATCGATGCTTCCTTTGCAACTTTCTCTTCTGCTACCACCGCTGCTCCTGCTCCTCCTCCTGCTCCTTCTACTTGGTTTGCATTATCCGTCATGACAATTAGTGAAAAACTGGAATTTAGTAAGAATATTAAGATTGTAGAGCTTTTGAGCAAAGCAACTGAACTAATGTTGAGTGTCTTGGTTCATACAAGTTGAGTGTTTATATACTAACAAAATCTTTTTTTTTTTTTAATAGGCAAATTGATATGTGTTTACTAAGTCTATGATTTGGCAGAGAAAAAATAGTACAATTAGATGAGATATTTTAGGAAAAGAGTTAGGATCTGTATTTAACTATTTGTTATGGATGAGTGACACTACACAGTCAAAGATTCAAATAGTAGTAACTTTGCATGAGAAGGATTCAGTAAAATGTGGATAATTTAATTTTCTATATCTTAAACAGAGTTTTAGGAGAACTGTATCCATTGCTCAAACCATTTATATGGTTGGGAAATGATTTTTTGACAACTACTAGTTATAAACAATTGCTTACAACCTGATATGGCATGAGTATGTCAGCTAATTTTAATTTAATTTTTAATTTTTATCGATTTTTTTAATTTATGTGAGGCGTATAAAATATGTATCTGCTTATTTGATATCATATAAATATTGTAAGATTTATTGTAAATTTTCATTGTAAGAAAATCAAAACCATATAGTACAATTTATGGATGTTAGTACTCTTATATGCCAAATTTAACATTTTATATTAATTCACCCCAATGATTTGAGGTTTGTTGCATGTTGATTAATTGGAGGAAATTACAATATTAAGGGGAAGTGTGAAAACTCAATTAAGCACACATACAATGCAGGGTTATATTTTGTTTACACTAGTAAAAAATAAAATCATTTTGTGATAATTTTATGACAATATTTTGCATATTCTATTTCCGTCTCATGTACCTTTTCACCTAGTAGTAATATGGGAGAAGACTCAAATCTACCTTTTATTGAATAATAAATAAATTAAGTAGATACCTTTTTTAGCAAGAGATTGCTTAAATAAAGTATTAAGATTTACACAAGTGACCAAAAGTTAAAAATTGAATTCCTCTTATACGAAGTATAGTATAAAGTGTTCTAAAAAACAAATATAGTATTATTCTTTAACTAAAAATCCCATATTTAAATAATGAGATGAAGAGTGAAAGATTTGAAAATGAGATAATTACTTGTTATTTTATAACTCATGTTCAAATTACATTCTTGAAAATTCTAATATTTTTATGAATAACCTATGAGTATTTGTGTTCATTTTCATTAGGAAAATAATCTTTCAATTAATACTGTTCTAATAAATAAATGATGATTCAACTTTTAATGTAATTTCGAAGAGATTACAAAAAGATATGATGTCTTGGTGTTCCATGAAATCCAATTATAATCATAAGATAAGATAGGATATAATGTAAATTTCATTTAAAACTTATCTATTACAGATAAATGTTTTGATATTTTTAATATCAAAATGTCTTAATTTTTATTTTTTTTAATTTTAAATTACTGAAATGCATTTTTTTTACAAGTTTGGACTATGGTAGCATATAACAAAATTGGAGAGGCCTTAGAAGTAATTAAATTAAATTTTATTCAAACATTCCTAAACTGCAATTAATTTTATCAAAGGCAAATGCTTTTAGGATAATTTTTTTATATTATTTTTTGGTATAATCAACATGTCATTTAAATGATTAGTTCTTTTAATTCATATGAAATTCATGATATTAAATGCGTTTACTCATTTAATAACAAATTCAAAAATAATATTATAATATATTATTATATAATTAATTTTTTTATTTAAAAATCCACCTAAAAAATTGCATATACATATTCAATACTACCTCATATTTTAGTGCATAAAATTGTAAAAGACCCAGCAATTAACGCATTTTAAATACTACGTGGCGCTATTTCTGTGGACAAACCAGCGAAGAATTTACCTGCTGACCCAAATTTCTCAGTTCTCCCCATCGGAAACCATTATTTTCTCCGCTGCCGCTGTTGTTTAAGCGAATCAGTCATGGCGGACGAGGTTAGCTTCTACTCTTTCTCCCAATTTCCTCTTGCCCCGTTCCCTTTCCGAGATCAATCTGCAGAAGATGAAAGGAAAATTAAAATAACAATAATAATAATAATAGTTCAAAAGTTTTTCTCAGAATTTCATTATTTTCCCCGGCGCTTTCTGTCGCCGATCCGGTCGACGGTGGTTGAACCCTTGATTCGATCTGGTCTCTGGGGGCTGAATTTGCGTTAAATTAATGCTGTTATCTTTTATTCTGATTTCCAATCAGATTGAATTGAAGACAGCTCCTGCTGATTTTCGTTTCCCTACTACAAATCAAACTAGACACTGCTTCACCCGCTACATTGAGTTTCACAGGTAATACTTCTGAGTAATTTCACTATTGTTCTGTTTAGAGAACCATCAGATATACTTCATTTTCAGTTTTGACATCTCATGTCTCAATTCTAGGTGCTTGGCTGCCAAGGGTGAAGAATCTAATGAATGCGAAAGATTTGCTAGATACTACCGCTCTCTCTGCCCAGGTGAATGGGTAAGTACTAATTTCTGGAGGCCGCTAAGGAGTATGTTGGCCAAAGTTTGCTATTTTTGCTTGTTTTGGTATCTGCCGCCTGTTTTTTCACATAAGCTTTGCTCTTGTAATTAAAATGCATTGTGATAGCTCACTCATACTTGCTTCCTAACAAGTTTTGTTGTGTTCATGGGTTGATGATTATGCTTGTACATGATCAATAGATGCCTAGGCATCTACACTGCTTTGTGGATAAATTATGTTTTGGTACTTGAGGTGCATTATTTATAGATTATTGTTCTGATACTGTTCTGTCTCTTACCTCCAATGTTGTTATATTGTGTTAATGTAGATTTTGTTTAAACTTGGATTATTTTACCTGTATTTTCTCCTACTGTTTAGGATAGTCTGCTAAAATAATAAAGTTGTTGGACAAGTTGAGTTTTGTTGCTTTTGGACAGGAAACAAAAGTACTACATGCTGGTGCATATCAGCATCATATTTCTATTCAGGATTTATCTTGTCCAACGGATTGATGTGATTATGATAGTTATAATGATAGTTTATTATCCTGTTTGTACCTGTTGACCAATTTTCTCGACAATAGCTTTCCCAAGATTGTGAGAAACATCTAATTGATGGGCCATGACCCCCTCTTTGATGTTAAATTTGATAATTATGCAAAACCTTTTGTATAGGACCAAGTGTCAAATATTTGGAGAATAAATCTTTTCAGAAGTTTTATGTACTTATAGGTGTTGTTATACTGTCTTGTGTTCTGCAGCATGAAAAAAGCATGCCGAAAATTGGTGTTAACAGTGAAGTGGTCATTGCTATTTCTGATGTTAGTATATTTTTTATTTGAGTATGCAGCTAGATGCTTTTTCTTGGCCACCAAATAACACTGATCGGCTAGATGGTTAGCTGATGAATAAATAACTACCCCCCCAAGTCCCCACCCTTTACCTTTGTAAAATTTGTTGTGTATTTTATTTCCTCTAGCTGTTGCATATCAAAGCATGGATTTTGCCATTATATTTACTACATATTTCTATTTCTAATACAGTAACATGCTTAAATTGCTACAGGTCGAAAGATGGAACGAACAGAGAGAGAATGGAACTTTCCCAGGTCCACTGTGATCACTGGTTGAGACATGGATAACCGCTTTGTAGCCTGGATGGCATGTGTTGCTCCCTTTATTGTCTTCTCTATTGTTTCAATGCTTTTCATCAAATTCTTTTAATTAAATAAAGGTACATAGATACAAATGGAGATTGGTTGAAATTTATTGCGTTTGATAGGTTTACAAATAACACGGTGACACCTGAAATTTCTTCTCCTATTTTAATTTGTGATTCTGTTTTTAAGCTGATGGGCTGAAAGCTACATTTACCATCTCCTGAGTTTTTTCTCTATTTCATTTAGATTGCTTTTAATGAGATCATATGTTAATTGTGTCTTATGTTGGGAGTACTATGCTATTCCTACTGAGGACTTATGAGTTGGACTAGTGGGCGGAGCCACTTTCTCCACGCTTGCACTAGGAGTGAATTGTTTTAGATAATGGGTTATAAGCCCATTCTACACTTGCAGGTGGAATTTGATTTTTTACGGGGACTTGCCACCACAAATTGCGTGGGCCGTATATCTTTGGTCAGAGCAATGCTAGGTGCACTAGACTCCTGCACTCTTCAGCCAACACATGTCTTTTTATTGG